CTGATCTTTTTCACTGCTCCCCGAAGAAGGCAACGTGGAGGAAGATGAGGACCGGGCTGGCTCCCGGGAGGAAAAGGGAGTGGACCATCCCCACGTTTTTTCCTCGGGCTCCAGTTGGGCGCAGGGAGGCTCAGCACTGCCACCTGGCGGCCGCGTCTGTCCGGATCGGAAGGCAATTGGCGGGAGTGCAAATGTGGGCTGTAGGTGGGTGGGACAAGTCTGGGCCTGGAGAAATGGAGCAAAAGTGGCTTTGCTTTAGGCCTAGGAAGCGGCCCAGGCAAACCTTTCTGCTGTTCTTCTGAGAAAACCGAGAGGAAAAAGAAAAATGAGTTGGCACGGATTGGCATTGGTATGCATTGCTGACTTGAGCCTTGTATGTGGTAGTGGATCAGGGAAGAGACATGGATTAACAATGATCAGAAATGTTATTCTAATAGTAAAATTTAATTCTATGAGCAAAAATAAACCACAGATTTAATCTCCTTGTTTTGGTATTTTGAAAATAAGAATTGTTCACATGAATTATTTTTTCAGTACAATATTCTTCTGCAAGTCCTGTTTGAATACAGCAGTCATCAAACCCAAAAGGATGGAAGTGCAAGTTTAGCCTGTCTCCTTGACAAAGAAGAAAATCAGACTCAGCCTCAGACCTCAGACGCACACAAACCTCAGTCCTGTGTAATGCATGGAACCAGAAATCCTGGGGCCTTTCTGTTGACAAAAGCCAATAACATATTTCCCAGGGCTGCTTCTTTGTCAACTAAAGTTTAACTGCCCACCCCTAATTTTATCTGAACTGAATACTCAGATTAGACCAGCTCTGGCAATCATAATTTCTACAAGCAAGGTGAGCAAAACCTTGCAAATCAGTTCAAATCCAGATTGTTTTAGTTTCAGGCTCTGCCCACTCCAATGCTATAGGAATATGTTAGACAGTAGGAGAGAACTCCTATTTATATTCCATACTATGTATGGACATAGGATTTTATGGTGCAGGTGTCAGGAGCAGAAGCCAAGCATTAGCAGGTATTACACTGAGACCTCAAATGGATTCCATTATTTCATGGAATAAGATAATTGAGCAAATATCTGCCTTAAGTCAAAACTTAAAATGTCTCACATCGTTGCCAATGAAGACAATGAGTCCATTATTCTAAAACGGAATTTTTTTTTTATTTGCAACATTATCTTGGCTTTTTGTTAATACAGCTATAAGAGTAGCAGTAAGAATCACTTCATGTACTGAAAAGCCAGCAGAGGGAACACTGAGTACTGATGTTCCTGGGGCCACCAAATATCTGGTATTTGATGAAAAAAATGTCAGTAATGGAGAACTGAAGTTGGGTAATGAGAACACAGAAACCTTTTCATTATTTGCTATTCAGAAGCCAAATGAATGCATTCTGGTATGCCTAGACTTTACTCCAGGGAAAGATGACTTTAATTAAAGGCCACTTGCCACATGTTTTCTTACACCCTAAGAGATCTAACACCTAAAAACAGACCTATTTCAAAAGTGAAACACTCATATATATATATATATATATGTATACACACACATATATATGTATATACATGTACAAACCACAACGATCTAATAAAGTCAAAAGAGCTTACTAATGCCATTTCATCAATTCTAAAACCTTATCATCTCAACATCTCTAAAATAGGGAGGTACATCTTTGATTAGAAGGATGAAAATTGTGGGATTTTTGTTATTTATTATTGGCAATTTTTTTCTTTTGGTGTCATGAAATGTAATGATGTATCTTAAAAACTGTTGAACTTGTGGAAATGGAAAAAAATGCATCTAACAAAAGAATTAGGTCAGTGACTAATTCTTAGTTCACTCTTAAGACATCAGTGTATTAAGTATAAACATAATTAGCATGGCTATTGGATTAACTTCCCCTTTTCCCCCATCATATTCAGTTGTAGAAATCTAATCAATCAGCTTGATACTCACTTTGAGTTATCAAACTAATTACATCTATTATCATTGTTTGGTCCAAATTCTGATGTAAATGTATTTGTTCTCTATTTTTATCCTAGTGAAAATACTGAATTTATAGATACTAGGTTTCTTAAAAGAATTAAGTCAGATTGATAGCTCTTAGGGGTGAAAAACATGAAATATATGCCAAAGTGTCTTTAAATTTTTTTGTTTTCTTTTTAAGTTTTGGTGGTTGTTTGGAGATTTCCACTTCTAGAAAGAAAAAGTATATAACTTGGGTAGCTGATGGTCAAAAATTATTTGCTTATATCCACAAAAACATTCTGGCTTGTGGTTTAATCCAATCCACTGTCTCTGTCTGGTGTTTTTTTTTTTTTTTTCCCAGTAAAATTTTAAATCTGACAATCTGGGCCTGTTGCCAGTATACATACTTAAAAAGTTTGACAAGATAAGTGGAAATACAGTATCCAGCACTAGTGTGACCTGAATCTAAAGTTGATTTTTACATTGGGCTGCCCCTACCTATCACTGGGCTGAAGGGAAATAGTTTGCCATTGTAGTTTAATGGAAGGCCAATTTTTATTTCAAAAAAAAATTCTAGTTTTCAGATTTTGAGAGGTAGTTTTGTGGCCAAATTAACACATATTTTTGAATAGCAAAGTACATTACTTTGCCACATTTCTCACACTCTTGTTTATGAAGTTCCTTTCTTTTAAAAGCCATGGGGGAGGGAACAAACAGAGTCCCCCCTCTATGATCTCTGGATGGCTCTTTCACACCACCGGCCATCCTAATTCTAGCTTCTCCAACAACATGCTGCTTTTACTAGAATTGGCATTTGAATTACCAAGCATTACATTAGCATTCATTCAGGGCTCACCATACATGACTGCTTAATAGCCTCAAACTGGTTGTAACAACAACAGTCCTCTCTATAAAGTAACTCTTAGTATTCTCACATCACAGGCCAGGAAAGCCCAGACATAGTCACATCCTCACAGATACAAACCCAGTAAGAAAGATTAACATGCAGGGCGAATGTGACTTTAGAGGCCCTCTTCTCTCCCATTGCCAGTTATTACCTCTTCCCACTGCTTCTCTTTTAGTTCCATTTGCTCCAAGCAACACCACACACACACACACACACACACACACACACACACACACACACACAGGAGGTTTATATTTATAAAGAGGAAGAGAGGGGTTTGAAGAGGGGAAGAGAATAGAGTGAAGCAGTCTTTTTCTTTGGAAAACATTAAGAAGTCAAGTCAGCTTCCATCCTTTGCTCAGCATTTTCACCCTGTATTACTGTATTACTCTATGCTAAGCTTCCAATAGAGGTAACAGTGGAGCACTGCTAATGTGATTCAAGGCAAAGCTCCTTATTTGGGCTATCCAGGATTTATAGGGGAGTTTAAATCATGAAATAACCATAGTTAACCTCTGTTTGGTTAAGAGAGTAAGCAAGTACTGCAACAAAAAAAAAAAGAACTCTCTTCTACCTTCCACAAACAATACAGAAAGGGTTTTGAAGAGATTTGCACAGTACATCAACATCTGTGCTGTACCCAGAGTTGTTAAAATAATTGTGATGACAGGTGTCTAGGTACCACTTTCTTAATGGTTTTCAATATCCATTGATTTATTGTCGTGGCTTTCGTCCCCTTTTACATCTCTGGCTTTGAGGAGGAGCTGAGAAACAGATTTGGCACTAGAGGCTGATTCTTTTATTCCAATGCTGAAAAGAACTAATAAAAATAATCACTTGGCTTTTAAGCAGAGAGCTTCCATTTACAGTATTTCACCCTTACCCCCAAAGAGCCCCTTGTTATCTAACATAATGGATAGAATACATTTCCGTCTCTCCCCTTAATAATTTCATGCATTAACATCCTCTACACACACACACACACACACACACACACACACACGAGCGCGCGCACACGCGCACGCGCTCACGCACACACAGAGCAAGAGGAAAAAAGAGGCAGCAGAAATCTCAGCTGTACTTCCAGCCCTTTTAAAAAGTTTGCTCTGTAAATTGGAATGAGGTCAGATTTGGAGCTTCTCATTGCACGCGGAGATTATTATTGCATCGGATTCCAAGCCAATGGGAAGGCCGGGGGTGGAGCTTGGCACGAGGAAGCGTTAGTTACAGCGGTTGATTGGCTGCGGCCAAGTCTGTGAAAGGATAAAGAGGCGCGAGACGGAATTGGGGTCTGCTCTAAGCTGCAGCAAGAGAAACTGTGTGTGAGGGAAGAGGCCTGTCTCACTCCCGGGTCTCTAGTTCTTGCACGCTTTTTTTTTTTTTCCTTTTTTTCCAAGAGTCTGCACTGGAGGAACTCTGCCATTACCAGCTCCCTTCTTGCAGAAGGGAGGGGGAAACATACATTTATTCATGCCAGTCTGTTGCATGCAGGCTTTTTGGCTTCCTACCTTGCCACAAAATAATTGCACAAACTCCTTAGTGCCGATTCCACCCACAGAGAGTCCTGGAGCCAGAGTGGGTTTTTTCGCTTTGCATGGTAGGAAAGGGACTAAGTGATAGAGACTATGTTGCTTTCCTGAGCTACCGAGAGCGCTCGTGAACTGGAATCAACTGCTTCAGGGGAGGAAAAGAGAGAGAGAGAGAGAGACTTGCCTGGGAGGCGGCGAGAAACTTGCACTGGAAGAAGCTTCAGCCAGCAGCAAGCAATCAAGAAACTCCTCTCCACGTTAGTCCGGTCTCCAGACTCAGAGCCGACAGACAGAGCAAACTGCAGCTCGGTGAGACAGAGAGAGAGGGGAGAGAGGGAAAGAGAGAGACAGAGGGAGAGAGAGTAAGAGAGAAAGACTTGACTCTCCAGCCTGGGAACTATAACTCCTCTGCGAGAGGCGGAGCGCTCCTCGCGCGCATCTTTTGGGACTTTTCTCTCTTCGCCCACCTCCGCCCCGGCCCGGAGTGGAGGGGTCCGGCTGGCCGGCCGGCCCGCCTCGCGCCTTCTCCAGCTCGGCGTGCGTTTGGCCCAGGGGAGCCGGGAGGGCCCAGCGATCGCGCCGCGGACACCGGCGAGGGTGTGAGCGCGCGTGGGCGCCCACCGAGCCGGGGCCATGGTGCAGCAAACCAACAACGCCGAGAACACGGAAGCGCTGCTGGCCGGCGAGAGCTCGGACTCGGGCGCCGGCCTGGAGCTGGGCATCGCCTCGTCCCCTACGCCCGGTTCCACCGCCTCCACGGGCGGTAAGGCCGACGACCCGAGCTGGTGCAAGACGCCGAGCGGCCACATCAAGCGACCCATGAATGCCTTCATGGTGTGGTCGCAGATCGAACGGCGCAAGATCATGGAGCAGTCGCCCGACATGCACAACGCCGAGATCTCTAAGCGGCTGGGCAAACGCTGGAAGCTGCTCAAGGACAGCGACAAGATCCCTTTCATTCGGGAGGCGGAGCGGCTGCGCCTCAAGCACATGGCTGACTATCCCGACTACAAGTACCGGCCCAGGAAGAAGGTGAAGTCCGGCAACGCCAACTCGGGCTCCTCGGCCGCCGCCGCCGCCTCCTCGTCCTCCTCCTCCAGCTCCTCCAAGCCCGGGGAGAAGGGAGACAAGGTCGGTGGCAGCGGCGGGGGCGGCCACGGAGGCGGCGGCGGCGGCGGGAGCGGGAACGCGGGGGGCGGCAG